AGAGGCCACACACACACACACACACACACACACACACACACACACACACACACACACACGGTAAGAATGCACACACACACGCGCGCGCGCACACACACACGGTAAGAATGCACACACACACGGTAAGAATGCACACACACACGGTAAGAATGCACACACACACACGCGCGCACACACACACACACACACGCGCACACACACACACGCACACACACACGCACACACACACACACACACACACACACACACGGTAAGAATGCCAGCCTTAAGATAAACAACCAACCCAGACAGAGGCCACACCCACACCCACACCCACATAGTTAACTGAAAAATAGAATTTTCTTGGTGCAGATCCTGGCATAAACTCAGGGTGTGGGGCTGTTCCTGAACTTTTGTGCTTAAGGTTAGTGGTCTACTACTTGAGTCACAACCCCACTTGTGGTTTTTTAGTAGCTAATTCAAAATTAGTCTCATGGACTTACCTGCCTAGGCTGGCTTTGTTCCTCAGATCTCAGCATCGTGAGTAGCTAGGATTACAAGCATGAACCATCAGCACCTGGCCAAAGAATTGGAACTTTTATTCCACTAACAGTCCTTAATACTTTCTTATCAAAGCTTCCAAAATGCATCTTAGGCTGAATAGCAATTTGATACTTTCTAGTAGTATATAGATATTTGCTTTATTAGCATTATTTTGGTGCCCAGGTAGCATTATCCCAATGCCCAAATACTGTTCTCATAGTCCATCCTTTCTTGGCAAGAAAGTATGTTAAAAATATCCAATATCCTTTATATTACAGTCAAGATAATATACAATGTTTTATTTTGTGTGTGTGACACATCCCTAGATTTAACTTCAAAACTTACTTTTGACATTTGATGACAGGAAAAGGGAGCCTAAAAACCTAACTGGGTAGGTGATGTAGTTAGCCTATTTACCTCACAACCAATGGTATGACCCTAGTAATTTAGGACTTCAAAACATTTAGATTTGAAATATCCACATATGGGCGCATTTATCTATGCAAATGAGTTTCTGGAATGCAGGAGTTAGCACAGTCTACAGTTAAAATGAAAAATTCTACTTTCAAAAAGTGAGTCCCTTTGCTTTACTTAACAGTATCCTTAGATACACAATATCCAATTTACAAAAAAAAAAAATTCAATCCCTAAAACAGCTATAATGATTTGCTTATTGATAACAGTTTCCACAAAGTTTATCAGCAAGAAAATAAATCCCTTGACCCAAGGAAAACCTTTTATAATGTGGTCCCCAAGTCTGGAAATCCAACAGGTGATAATGTTTATTTATTACTGGAGAAACAAATCCAAAGCTGCCTGTAGGTAGCCACATACCATAGAGGATTTATTTGACAGATCTGATCAATAAATTATACTGACTTTTTTTTTGCTTCATCGAAATCAGCAGAAATCTATAATACTTCAGATGCATTATGGGACATTATGTATTATGTTTTTTCCTCTTTGACAGTGCAGCTGAATCCAATCAGATTTATCTGATGTATGGAAGAAATAATCCTAGAATAACAGAATTTTCAAAACCAGTATTATTGATAAAGGTAATAATTATAAAGGGTCTTGACTGGTGACAAGGGCATATAATATTCCACAGAGAACTGTCTCCTAAATATATATCTTTTCTTTATATCATTCATATTGTCTTTCCTATTATTTCTCCATCCAACTATAGCTACTTGTTGGTTCTTCATATACTAGGTACCTTTATTTTTTCAATGTGTTCCATATCACACACCCCCGCCCCCAAATGCCTCACCAAAGTCTTACTATAAGAAATGCATTTTGAAAGTTTGGAGACAGAGGGGGGAATAAAAAGGAAAAGCCAATAGCCACTTTCTTTCAGAACAGTATTAATAAAATCACAAGAATTTTCTTGTGTTAAAATTAACATGCTTTTGTAGTGAATAACACCTTTATGATAAAAGTATTAACCAAAACCAAGTAAGAATCTCTGCCAGGTAAAAGGGGGTTTAAATGCCACTTCTATTACCTAAAAGGCTGTTTTTATCAGTACCAAAATCCAGCATATTTGTATTATACTGGTATTTAACTTAGTTCTAATTTTATATTTAAAAACTTGTTTTGAAGTTTACTTCAGACGTTACAGTTCATGAACTCCCAGGACTAGAAACAAAATAAACTTTTCTACTTGAAAAAAATAAATCATAGCAGTTAATGGGGTGTGTTTTAATTTAATCACTGAGACACCTGAAATTGCTAGCAAAAATTCCCATAGTATGCTACCCTGGCTAACATGGGGGCACAACTTTCAAATTGGTTAATAAAATGGATTATTTTTTTTTAGCTATTCAACAGAAGGTACATCAATTAAAACAATCTATAGAAATGACATGTTACCAGTAATTTACAATAAAAAAACAAACTCAGCCACGAAAAGAGTCAAAGCTAAAAACAAGATTTTTACTATGATTCAGTGCTTCTATTATCCTTCTGAAAGGAGTTAATGTGATGTAAAGGCAACATTGAAAGTTCTTTAAATTAACCACCTAATTAATCCCTAAAATTACAAAGAATCAAAGTCTTTTACAGGTCAAGTGCAGTAAACTAAAATTTTCTCTCAGCACAAAGCAGCACTAGAAAAATAACAGTACAGATGGGACTTGACTAGTTTTGCAGTGGCTGCTCCATCAATAACAGACATCAGACAGTATCCATCCCAGAGCACAGACACAACTACAGACTAGAGGCGAAGAATGCATCACACTCTTGGCTGATAAATGTCCTTTGTCTCGGAATCTTTCTAGCTTGAATGAAGTGGACTTTTAAAAAAGTAAATCAGGTCATATAAGTTGGCTGTTTAAATAACATCATGATGAGGTATGAAAGCTCTGTATTCCTTACATTCAGCAGGATTTACCAGAGATGTGTAACAGCTTGTCAGGGGCAACTGTCCAATAGTTTTTACACTTTGGGATTATAATGAATTCTAGAAGGGTATGAGTAAGTCTAAAGAGGATTAAAAAGGATATATGCTCTGAATGAAGTGAGCAACTTTTCCTTCGGAATTCATTTTGAACAGATATCACCAAAAATCTTCTCTGATCACGTATCCCAACATTTGAGTCAAGATGGCCAACTAGCACCGAGAAGTCTTATTGAACTCATTTGCAGTTCTCTTGGCAATTAATATTTTGTTTTCCATTCCCGTCCAAGCACAATGTGGATCAGTGAACACAGTACTAGAAGAGCCATTTGTAGATGCAGACTTGTAGGGTACTAGTAGAAGTTGAAATAAAATCGTTAGAGAACACTGAGGTTATTAGAAAAAGATCATTGCCCTTGAGTTAAGCAGGTCTCGTTGAAAAGATGGTTATTTTTTTAAAGATAAAGATGTTACATTATAGGGATCCTATATGCAGCGCAAACACATTAAAATCAAGGTACACTGGCTAAGAAAAACAAATCCCTAAGTAATCTTTCAAAGTATGTTATTTTCCAGGCATGGAGGGGAAAGCACCTAGGGTGACCTCCAACTTACTGAGGACCTTGATCAGACCACAAAACCTGAAATATTTGCTGCAATGCAGACAACAGCCTCTAGTCACACTGGTTGAGTTTGGGAAAAGCAAAAGGTTTGGTTTTCTTCTTATTCCTTTATTAAATTATAGGATATGGTTTTTACTAAGAACTCTAAATCTTGAGAATTGAAACCACTTCCAAATCCTAAGACACATAAGACCAAAGAGAAGCAAAGTCATTCAAATTAGTATGTGCTCCTCTCCTTTCTGCTTTAAAGGAATCTGCAAACCAGTATCACATTTAAGAATCAGAGTTAATTCTTCAGCATTCCTGACAACTAGAAAGCACATTCACTGAAGGCTGAAGGTGAGGGAGTGGATGGTTTAACTTTAGTATCTGAAGAATGGCGCCAATAGAGGAAAGAAAACCATCCAATCTCAGTAAGGATTAATGCAAATTTGGCTAGAAAAAGCCACCAGGTAATCCAAAGGTTCACTGTGGAAGAACTCATGAAAAGTACTCTGAAGTATACATAACAGGTCTAAACACCTCCCTTGTTGCAAGTAGCTGTGTGAAATTCAAGATAAAAGGTTTAGTTTTATCTTTTAATGTCAGTATTTTTCCCCACTCTATAAAGGGAATGAGGAGGAAGTCCTCTTTTTTCCCCAGAAAAAAGGGAGCCACATTAATATGTGTATATTCCCATGACTCTAATGTAAATGCGGATCTCCAAAGCCTAGGGATTTTTCCATAAGAGAGTGGGCCATTCTGGTTACCCTTTTATTATAAGGGTATTCCACCACAGAGAGCCAGAGGTTTTCCAATGTGTGTAAGAGAGCAGGTGCGCAAGGCAAGCAAATGAGCGCAAACAGTATTATGGAAAACATTTGAGAAGATAGCTCCATGAGGACTGTGGGCTCCACAAGAGGACTCAACTGAGTAGCCTGGTCTTACACAGGAACATGAAAGTTGAATATTCCTTCAAAGCTGGAAACCTTCCATAGGAGCCTCACACTGCTGGAAGATGTACTGCTGCTGGCTAAGGTCAACCTGGGGTGCAATGCTGCTATCCTCATCTTCGGTCCCAAAGTAATGCTCAATAAGATCAAAGGCCTTCTGGTAAATCTCCTGGTTTTCATGACTCTGTAGGAATTCAATTTTGTCCAGACCTAGAATGAAGAATAAAGGAAACTCTTGACTGGCAATTCCAGTAAATTATTTTGCATATACTTCCTTTCTTGATTTAAAGGAAAAATCTCTACTTACATATATCTTATATTCTATGCCAGTATAGAAATGGTTGGTGGTATTACATGTGAAAGCTAGTAAAGGTCTCCAGCCAGGTGCTGGTGACTCATATTTAATTCTAGCTACTCAGGAGACTTAGATCTATCTGAGGATTGTGGCTAAAGCCAGAGTAGGCAGGAAAGGCCATGTAATAACTCTTATCTCCAATAAACTACTCAGAAAAAGCCAGAAATGGAGTTGTGGCTCAAGTGATAAAGCACTAGCCTTGCACAAAAAGAATTGAGGGACAGTGCCCAGGCCTGGAGGTTAAGCCCAGACCCAGCACAAAATAAGACATAGAAAAAAAAAAATCTGACCTCTTAAAAACACAGGCAAGCAACAATCTGTCCATAGAAACAGAATTTTTTTTTTTTGGATCAGTTGTGGGGCTTGAACTCTGGGCCTAGGTGCTGTCCCCCTCAGCTCTTCAGCTCAAGTAGAACACTACTTGAGCCACAGCGCCACTTCCAGTTTTCTGATGGTTATTTGAAGATAAGAGTCTCTTACCTGGGCTGGCTCTGAATAGAGATCCTCAGACCTCAGTCTCCTAAGTAGTTAGGATTACAGGCATGAGCCACCAGTGGCCAGCAGAAACAGAAATGTTTTTTTAAGAGTTCTTACATCACCTAGTACTCAAAAATTTTAGTATTTTTATTGGAATCATCTATTGCTTAATTCTTAGCAATAAGCTTCCTCACGCAAAGCATCTTACCATAAGCTTCTTCAATCAAAGCACAGTATGGATTAATGCCAGAGCCATTTCTTTTGGCCTCTTGTTCTCCAAGCCTCAGGATATTTTCCAAACCATTTAGGGCAACTTGTACAATCTTAGAGTCCATGACAGTGAGGAGATCACAGAGTGGCTTGATACAACCCAGTTCTACTAGGTACCTAAATCAATACAAAGAACAATATGGTCAAACAATATACCTCATTTCGTAATGGTGAGAATCAACTTCAAACTTACTGAATGAAATTAAGTACTCAATCAACTATACAAGTTATACCCAATCATAAAAAAGCTTCAAAAAGTAACCAAAACCAATTATCCTGACATCTATTTTCCTTTTCACAATTTTTGGACTGCAAAAAGTAAGAAATAAGAATTCTTTCTAACTATGAATAAGAGTATTTTTTCAAAAAAGTAGTTTTCCTGGGCTGTCATATTTGTTACTATAGATAAGCCACAATTCTCAAATATGACAACGTATTTGGTTTGAAAAACCAGCACAAGCCCAACAGATTATCTTCCCAATGTAATTAAAATTTTATGAAAGTTGCTGAGAAGACTATGAGAAGAATAGAACAAACTTGACAGGTAGACCAGGTATGGAGGTCCATGCCCATCATCTTCATGTTTAGAGATACAGGTAGGAGCATAATGAGTTAGAGACCAGCCTGGGATATCAGGCAAGTTTAAGACCAGCCTGGGCTCAGAGTAAAACCCTGTCTCACTAAATCACAAAATAAAAAACCAATGAGGTAGGTATTAAGACATTAAATGTACATTTGAGTCTATAACACTAAAAGTAAGTGTTAAAAAGGGCTAGAATTAAGCATATTTAATTAATAATATCTCACCTTATTCCTCAAATATAGTTAATCTTTCATTCTAAGTAATATATTGGGGAGAGATGGAAACAGTGTTTCCTTCAATTTGCAAAGTATTACATGGTCAGAACGTACTTGATCTGTTCAGCTGATCCTCCAGAAGTTGCATTTGTGATGGCCCAAGCAGCTTCTTTCCTTGTTCGAAACTCAGCAGTTTGTAATATACTAATAAGGGCTGGAAAAATGTTGGCGTCTATCACAGTCTGAAATTAAAGCAAAATTTAAATAGAACAGGAAATTAATCCTAATATTAATTTTAACTTTTAACTAGTCCACTAATCACACCCCGAGGCCACCTGTGAAAACTAATGGGGCTAGCTAGCCAGGTGCCAGGCGCTCACGCCTGTAATCCTAGCTACTCAGGAGGCTGAGATCTGAAGACCACAATTCAAAGCCAGCCTGGGCAGGGAAGTCCATGAGACTCCTATGTCCAATAAACCACCAGAAAACCTGAAGTGGCACTGTAGTTCAAGTGGTAGAGTGCTCGCCTTGAGCTAAAGAACTCAGGGACAGAGCCCAGGCTCAGAGTTCAAACCCCATGACTGACAAAAAAAAAAACTAAACTAGTGGGGCTGGATGCCAGTGGCTCACACCTGTAATCCTAAGCTACCAGGAGGCTGAAATCTGAGAATCATTTGAAGCCAACCTGGGATGCCAAATCCTAGAGATTAAATACATTGGAAGAAGTCTTTATTATCATTAACCTTTAGGCTATTAGTGGTATTAGGGATAATATAATACACAGTTTGTGATGTTATTCTCGAAGTATTCCTGAGCTCTTTTCTTCATTCTACCCCCATAACAAATTATACAATTTATATATAACTGTGTAAATTATAAATTGCATAATTATACAAATTATATAAAATATATAATACAATTAAAATACACTATTGTATATTATGATTGATACAATTACATAGTTACACAATTCTATCTGTTAATCTTATCCGTTCCCTTGTATGCACTCTTGCATATATGCTGTGACTCCCAAGTTAATCATTTGTCGCTGAAGTCCACCCAGGGTACCCAGCAGCTTACTACACATCTCAAACACTTCATCTGTCCTCTCTATCATCTCCTTTTAAGCCTCTCCAGTTTACAAAGGCTATTTATCTTCATTCTGTATTCACTCAATCAGTTATCACTATCAATTGGAAATATCCCAAGTCTAGCTTTTCTGTTCTTTAGGATTTCTACTCCATCTTATTCCAAACTGCTACCTCTCAATGAGATTAGAAGAAGGTCATTATTTGAAATACTCTGGCTCAATTCCAATAACATGATCTTATATGCACACTAAAAATGGCTATGGTTATCAATCTCAGTTCCTAATTCAGTTTTATGGGGAGACTAATACCATTCATGGCCAAAACTTTTTGTCAGTGATGAAAGCCAGCATTATTTAACAGAAAGAATCCTAATCTGATTATGTCATTTACTGGAGATGCCCTTGAGAAAACTGATTTCTATGAGACTGTCTTATCATGTTCTAAACTGCTACGTTCATTAGTAATAACTGTATATAGATAGTGGGTATAACATGGGAGATGTGATTTTTTTCTTTTTCTTCTTTTTTTGTCAGTTGTGGGGCTTGAACTCTGGGCCTGGGCACTGTTCCTCAGCTCTCCAGCTCAAGGCAAGTGCTCTACCACTTGAGCCAGCGCTGCTTCCAGTTTTCTGGTGGCTTATTGGAGATAAAAAGTCTCATGGACTCTCCTGCCTGGTCTGGCTTTGAACCGATCCTCAGATCTCAGCCTCCTGAGTAGTTAAGATTACAGGCGTGAGCCACCAGCTCCCGGTGGGAGATGTGAATTTTGTTGTGATTAAAATTCTGGTGAGACAAACCTTATGACTCCACTCAACTCCAAGTCCTCTGAGTCTCTTATTATACCTTTTCCAACCCATTTTTCCAGACCTGATCATGACTTGTGCTGAGCACTTGGCACAGTGCTTTTCCTTCAGTTATTTTCCCAGTGACAAAAAGGCAAAATTAAAGGGCAAATAATCACTTGGAAAAAAAAGAAAGGAAAGCCAGTCTCCTAAAGTTTCTGAAAAATTGTAGCAACATAATACATGAGTTCATTGTAAAAATAAACATTTTAATAAGCATGAGTCAATTAAATCTATTTAGCATAAAGTCCATCAGACTGTTTAAAAAATGTAAGATATTTTTTCTAGGATCTTTAATAAATCATTACTTATTAAAGGCAAAAGGAAAAATCAAGGCCTAAATGTGTGTGTGTTTAAAGGTTCGGTGAAAAAAACTACCAATCAATAGAAGTAAAAGCAGGTACTTTTTGACATTACCTGGATTTGTGCCCTATTTCCAGCCGTGATGTTAGATATAGTCCAGCATGCTTCCTTTTTAATAGATTCTTTTGGGCTACTCAGCAAATGGAATAAACTCTGAAGAGCTGAGCAATTCAAAATTACCTAAAAGGAAAAGTTTAAAATGTTCACTGACTGCATTATTCCAAACTTATTTTAGGAAAATATCAAAATCTTCTCTTGGACTTTATATACTTTCATATACATAAGAAAGTACTAGAGTTAGAATTAGTTTCTAGGTCATCAAACTAGTTTCATTATGTACTTTCACAACTGCTAAAATTGCAGTTTATAAAATATAATACTGAGCCAAGTATGTTGGCAATATGCCTATATTCCTAGTAGTCAGGGGAGGATGAGATGAGATTCACAAGTTTGAGGCCAGCCTTGGCTATACAGATGCATTATTAATAATTACAATTATTCATTTACTTTAGTGTCACTACAGCTAAAAGGATAAATATACCGAGAGATCAGAAAATAATAAGTATTCTAAGATTTTTAAGTCCTCAAATAACTATCTTGCAGTGAAATACATACTCAATGAAATCTATATCAAATATAGAATACAAATCTTAAAAAAACATACCAAATATAAGTTCACAAACTCTTGACTGGGGGGAGGGGGTGTCTCCTGACCCTGGGACCCTCTCCCCCTACAAAAGGAAACATTACTGGCAGAATATAGGTTATGCATAAGATCATGATAGATCAGCAGAGACAAGTGTCCTATGCTGATGGAAAAAAGTAGGTATAAAAGCTCATGGTGGCCGGGCACTGGTGGCTCACACCTGTAATCCTAGCTACTCAGGAGGCTGAGATCTGAGGATCATGGTTCAAAGCCAGCCTGGGCAAGAAAGCCCATGAGACTTTTTTTTTTGGGGGGGGGGGTCCGGTCATGAGGCCTGAACTCTGGGCCTGGGCACTGTCCCTCAGCTCTTCAGCTCAAGGCTAGCGCTCTACCACTGGAGCCACAGCACCACTTCTGGCTTTTTTCTTTTTGCTTATGTGGTGCTAAGGAATCAAACCCAGGGCCTCAGGCATGCAAGGCAAGCGCTCTACCACTGAGCCACCTTTCCAGCCCCTCCATGAGACTCTTATCTCCAATAAACCACCAGAAAAGCGAAGTGACACCATGGCTCAAGTGGTAAAGCGCTAGAACCTTGAGCTGAAGAGCTGAGGGACAGTATAGTGCCCAGGCCTAGAGTTCAAGCCCATGACAAAACAAAAACAAAAGCTCATGGTGGTGAGCTGTTATACTTAATTAAAGGAACACATATGGTAAGCACCTAAAGCCTATGTGGCAGTGAGGAAATACAAAAACTTGCTTTTTAATCTCCCCCCTGCCCCCAAAAACATTCTTAGTGAGTTACAGACCCAGTCCTAGAAACCACTAAAGACTATTAAGCACATGGCTCAAAATTTGAGGAACACAAAAATTAGTTGCAACACTCCTTTTGATTCCATACCCCAAGCCACCAAGGTTCCCTCAGAAATAAATGCCATTAGTCCTATTCTTCTAAAGAGATTTCACCTAAGTACAATCAAACATGTATTCTTTTCTTCTTTTCTAAAATGTCTAAACTAACACTGTAGGGAATGAGCAGAGAGGGGAGAATCAAGCTGATGTCCAGGTTTCTGGCATAGACAACTGTTAATGCCACTTACTGAGATAGGGTACAGAAGAAGGAGTTCAGATACATGAAGAACAGAATAGTTTAGAAGTATACTGCAAATAACTAATTATAGCTAGAAAAACTTAAGACAACAAATGTAGTCTATTTAATTATATAGAGACAAGGAAAGCACAAACATTGAATAAAAAGTTAGAACTGGATAAGAAAAAGCTAAGTTCAAAATTTTTCCTAATTTTCACAATCCATGCACAAAAGGGTTATCATTAAAGTTGTAAGATTTATGAATGAGCTGAAGAACTTCCCTGTGGAGAATGATCTCACAAACAGAACAAGAAAAAGTAAAGTTGGTAAGAAGAAATAAATGGTCAATGAAACAAAGAACCAAAACATGTCAATATTACGAACAACTATCTAGGAAGTTTTAAGACATCTCGAAGAAAAATGTCCAGAACAATCCACTGTATCTTGATATCAAAGTTGAGTGGGCACTAGAAAAATTTTTTCTTACATAAAAGATGAGGAAGCTATCAAAAAGATAATTAATTCAACAATTAGTCATTTCAAATAACAGTATAATAAACATTTGCCTCCAAAAGGAGGGGTTTGGAGGGAGGGAGGGAGTCAAGTAACAGGCCAATACAGAGATACAAGTTATTGAGAACAGAGATACCTAAGGAAAATATTTCTGTTTTTGCTTTTCTGTGTGCCAGTACTACAGCATTAACTCAGAGCACCTCATTTTCTCACTAGGCTTTTTTTGCTCATGGCTGGTGCTCTACCACTTAAGCCACACCTCCAATTCCAGTTCTTTGCTGGTTAGTAGATTGGAGATAAGTTTCTTATATTTGTCTGCCAGGGCTGGCTTCAAACCTGGATCCTCAGATCTCAGCCTCCTGAATAGCTAGGACTATAGGCATGAGCCACTGATGTCTAAAGCTCAATATGCTGTTTTGGAAGGGCAAAATATAGTTACTTATTCATACCTGTGTCTGAATATCATCCCCTGTGACAATGTTTCCTACAGCTCGCAAAGCAGGAGAAACTACTTTATAGTCATCGTGCCTGCAACCATAAAAAGAAATGTTATAGCTAACCGCTCTATCCACAGTTCCTTTTCTAAAGGGATAAAATCTGAAAAAATAATAAATGGTTAAGATTTTAGAGAAAACATACCTATTAGTTATTAAGGGAACCCTAACACAATGACAAAATGCTTGGTATCCTCTAGAGGAGCTGCCTTTTCCCTTTAATAATTTGGGAAAAACTACAAATAATTTCTAGTAATCTTTCCGAGGCATTTCAGCACCCTGATTGCACGATTTCCTTTTTCATTCCTAATGTGGGCTTCCTCTTTAGTCTTCTATAGTTGCTGAGATAATAAAGAGCAATGAGTAACGTTTATATAATTTTATAGTTTATTTTTTTAGCAGTGATACTGATAAGTCAGCTGCTTAACTAAGTTGAAAATAAAAGTGAGAATTAGTATCTCAAATACTGAACTCTTCCTACTAAATCTACAAAGCTGTCTTACTGGTCAAAAACACTTTCCACAAAGGCATTTTATATTCAAAACATAGATACTAAGTCCTAATTTCAGAATAAGTCAGTATTATTTAACTTTCCTTAAAGGTCCTACTTTCTTCTCCTTTAATGAGACTGGTTATTCTTAAAACAGTTTCTTTACATTTAAGATTTATTAACTAAAATACAATAATTAAAATGTATAGAAACATAAAAGGATTACTTCCCAGACTTAGATAGCTTCTGACTCTAGCAGCATCACATTGCCTTTAATTCACTATAGCATTACTTTCTTGCAGTTAAGTCTATTGGCCAGCTTTGTACAATCCCTGAATTTTGTGTCTGTATATTAAACTCAACTACCCTATTCAATGTCATTCAGAAAAATATATATCTACTTTGTATTTCAATTAAATTTCACTTGTTGCATGTACACTTCCTCATTACCTTACCAGTCTATTTTTTTCTAAGTACTACCTAAAAATGTAATTACTATATTTATGCCATTTCATCACCAAAGGCACTATAAAGGATAAAATAAGATTCAACGTCTGTTACTAGTAGCTCTAAGAGAGACAGATAAAGGATGACTGTTTTTAGTGACAATAAGCCTTCTGATTTTTAGTGGTTGTTACATGAAGTTTTCCAAATGTTTCTACTAAAGGACTGCTACTAGCAGAGCAAAAAGGTCTCTTATAGAAGCTTCAAAACAACAAATGAAACAAACAAAAAGACACAAATAAGAAACAATGACAAAAAAGTCCCAAGCACAATAAGTCAATAAAAATACAATCAACTAATATTTAAGTATAAACAGAAAGAAAAGTACTATGGAGGGGAAAAAAGTAGATACATTTTTAAAAAAAGATACATATTTGGACAGTGAAACAATAATAAAAACACACAATGAATCATGTTGAAATTCTTTTAGAAGGGGGAAAACGGCAGGCAGAGTGATTAGAAAGAGTGAGATTCATTACAATACATTGTAAATGTGTGGAAATTCAACAATGAATACCTTGGGCCCCCCCTTATAACTAACACGTTTAAAAAAAAAAAGATATCTTACATCAGCAGCTCCACAAGTCTCCTACATACTCCTGCATCAATGACTGCCTGAATTTTATCATTGGGTCCATCTGATAGATAAGAAAGAGCCCAACAGGCATCAGCCAGTACATCAGTGTCGCTGACAAACAGCAACCAGGAAAGGACATTCAGACAGGGGGAGACCTATAAAAAAAAAGAAGACATTATGAAGAAATTGAACAGAATAAAAAGCAAAAGTAAGATACTTAAGAAGGCTGCCAGGCAATCACTTGATGACTGATTGCATTTCTGTCTTTGGGAATGCTGTCTGTGGTCTTGTTTACTTCGCTGAGGTAATCAGAATCCAGAATCAGAATATAAATTCAAAGGAATATAAATTCAGAATGGCACAAGCGGTAGAGGACTCACCAAGGACAGCGCTCAAGCCCAGAGTTCAAGCCCCACAACCAACAACAACAAAAAAGGTTCAGAATATAAATTCAGAAACCAAATTTTATATATACCTATTCTTAGGGTTAAATTCTTTGGCCTAGTCTTTGTCAACCAGGTAAAAGAATCTCACATATGCCACTGCTAGGAAATGCTGTATTTTAGATACTTAGTTGTTAACAAAAATTACTAAAGATGAATTATTAAAGATGAATTTGGAGTTTTTCCAGGCAGCAAGAAATGATCTCAAATTTAAACAAAAACCAGAAATGACCAAAAAAATCTAAAAAATTTCTGTACAAACTGAAAATTCTAACACTCTAAATTTTACTATTCAAAATTATCTCTCTGTAATCATTAAATTGGTTGCTGAGGTCTTTTAACAGCACTTTTCCTGCCAATTTCCCACAAGTATAGTGCTTACCTTTGCAAATTCTGGAGGTGGACTTTTCCCTCTACAGAGATTAGACAATGCCCACACTGCATTCCGGGTCATGGTCAAACGATTTTGCTTTGAAAATAACCTACAAGCATGAAAGTGTGATGGTAAGTTATACAACAGATATTAATTCACTGACTGCGTAAAATAAGTAATAAACTAATGCTATGGATAAAACAGTAGACTTCAAATAGATTTTCTCCAGGACAAAAAAATTCATTAACTCCATTATAAGTAATTTGGAATTTTAGCACTGGAGTAAGTGTCTGAAGAAATGATCTAACAAATTAATAAGAAAGCATCAGGGGAAGGGGTAACATTGTCCAAAAAAAAAACAAACCCTCTGTACACCATCTTTTAAATAACAATAAAAAATTGGAAGGAAAAAAAGGCATTTGGAAAGTAACACTAAAAAATACAAAGTAATTTCCAAAGAAAATGCTTTCTGAGGAACTTCTCTTGTTCTTATTACTCATGGAAAGGGGAAAAAAGGCAAGCAAGCAAAAAAAGAAATGAAACTTACTGCAAAAGAGGAGGAAGGATATTGCAGTCTAAAACATAGTCCCTGCACATGGTACTATCACCAGCAATGTTGCCCAGGGCCCAGACTGCCTGTGAAAGAATTAATTCGTTAATAATAATGTGTAACTTAATTCCCTCATAAATCTTTCAAAGGGGCCAATATATCACAGTAATACTTTAAATAAAGAAAATGAGTTAAATAACATTTATGAAGAGATGAACCAATATTTATATTCTTTTTTTCTATAGGACCCAATTCTCATTCCTAAGTAACATTTTATATAGCTCTTGGCAACCAGCAGAGATTCAAGTATCTTACTAAGCTGAGTTGATTTGTCCTTAAAGAGAATTCAAGTGCTATCAAAATACAGATAATTTTATTAAACTTTTGGATGTGATAAAAAGCCATATTCACTTAGTGGTAATATCTTTTAAAATGTGATAAGGCTGGCAATAATAAAAAAATTAATGTTGTTTTTGTCTTTTCTAGTAAAATGATTGAAGACTTCAACTAGAAACTCCCAAGAAACCCTCTTATAGAGACTAAAAAGCTTATAGAGACTAAATAGTTTTATGTGGCTAGAAGTGTGCTTATATTCACAAAATATATTCTATTTTGACTAAGTTTAAATTTCTAGAACACTCCCAGGAACAAACTGGATTATCACAGTATCACCCACTCAAGTCCTGAATATGACTAACAGGAAGGTTTTAGTCATTCATAAGTTCATCTGGACTCCTTACTTACTGTATTTTTACTTAATTTTACTTGTTTTGTTTACCTGTTCCTGGACATCTTCAAACTCTGAGCTGAGCAACTCTATGAAGATGGGTACTGCTCCTGCCTGGATCACAATCCGGGTCTGAAGGGAATTTCCTGAAGCAATGTTTGTCAGTACCCAAGCTGATTCAAACTAGAAAAATAAGAATAATTTTCATCATCCTAACAACTTAAAATCTTGCTCATAATGATTTCTATATATAAAATAGAATCTGAGATTGTTATTTGCAGCTCTTATCAGCTGAATACCATTATAATTTTATGCCAGTCAGGGCTTCGTGCTCTTGCATGGCTTTTCTGTTCAAGGCTGGTGCTCCTATTACTGAACCACACACCCCTACTACTGACCATATTAACTTTAAAAGAACTTCAAAGAATTAGCACACCCTATATTCAGGGTGTCTAATATTTCAAATCAAGTTACAGTTAACATGAGACCATAAAAAAAATGAGGAAATGTTGCGTAGGTTATAAAATAGACTCCTGAGGTTCAAATAAAAAAAAACTAAATGAGGGGCTGGGAAGGTGGCTCAGTGGTAGAGCGCTTGCCTTGCATGCCTGAGGCCCTGGGTTCGATTCCTCAGCACCACATAAGCAAAAAGAAAAAAGCTGGAAGTGGCGCTGTGGCTCAAGTGGTAGAGCGCTAGCCTTGAGCTGAAGGACAGTGCCCAGGCCCAGAATTCAGGCCCCACGACCGGACTCCCCCCCCAAAAAAAAACTAAATGCAAAATAATATACATAAATATGGTGCAAAATTACATTACCAAACAGGGTTAAAAAGACTATGAGTTAATACACTTTTATTTTGAGGCACTTAAGATTTTTGAACTTAGGGACTCAATGTTTGATAATATGCAAGTTACTCTACCACTTGAGCTACACTTTCAGCCCTTCTTAGATCTAGCTATTTTTTCTAAGGTTTTAAATTTTCCCCCAGACCAGGCCTCAGATGAGAATTCCCCTACCTATACCTCCCACATTGCTGGGACCACAAGTGCATGCCACCAAGCCTGGCTTATTTTACTTAGATAGTATCTTACTAACTTTTGTGCCCAGGCTAAGCTTTAGTATTGACTGGATCTCTGCCTCCCGAGTACCTGAAACTACAGGTATAAGCCACTGAGCCTAGCCCTTAATGTAATTATTACACAGATTATATCTGAATGCAATTACAAGAAACTATAAAATATGTATTATTTATACAAAGAATCCTGGATGACATCAGAATAGGAATAAGATAAAAAAATTTTCACTGAAAACTATGTTCCCTTGGGCCTTAATCTATGTATATGGTATCATACATAATTTCTGCAAGACTGGCAAAGCAAAATAGAAAGATATTAGTGTAAAGTGTATAAAATGTGGTTATCGCAAGAAAGTCAAAAAGTATTTTAAATGTTAAATAGGTCAAAATGAGTTAACAGGGAATTCATAGAAATAACAGCTTCAATACATAAGAGCTTCCAATAAATGAGAAGACTCCAAACCAAAGATATAAAAGTTTTTCTTAAAGAGCATTCCAAGTATTGAGAAAAAAAGGCAGATATGGAGTATTATAACACTAGTAAAAAGAAGATATGAACAAAATTATAGTCAGCAAACTACAGCATGCTACTAATTCTACAAATCTCTAGCAGTAACTTGTCTCACTAACTTAGTATTAGAAAGTAGAAGTTAATAAATATTTCTTTCTTGGTTTTGGTCAGTCCTGGGACTTGAACTCAGAGCTTGGGCACTGTCCTGAGATCTTTTGCTCAAGGCTAGAACTAGGGACTCTACCACTTAAGAGCCACAGCTCCATTTTCTGGTTAGCTAATGGTTATAGATAAGAGTCTCATAGACTTTCCTGCCAGGAATGGCTTTGAACCACAATCTTCAGATCTCAGCCTCCTGAGCAGCTAGGATTATAGGCATGAGCCACCAGCACCCAACTGAAAGCTTGTATTTCTAGATAGTTCATAGTTCTCATACTTATTTAACAAAACACATAGAAAGAAAAAAAATTAACATTCCTTTCCTTTTTTTTATCTAACAGGTCAACAGTACTTCTAACTTTTTCTAAGCTTTCAAATAAACTAAGAAAGCAGGGGCCATAAGGGAAAACAGAGCCATCAGAGGAAGAAATGGGCAGACAAGTGAATTGACACAGTTCAAAGCCATGTGAATGATAACAAATGCATAGAATAGCAGAAGGCACTTAAAAGATTGAAAGCATGGCTAATGTGGTGGGCTACCTAGCAAGGGCAATCATTTCATACAGAGCGAAAAGAAAGAAAGGGAAAGAAGGGAGGGGAGGGGAAAGGAGGATGTTCAAAGCCAGTAAGTGACAAAACAGGTAGATGGAGTAGCTGATAGCCTAGATATGGAGTTAGTTACAGCAGCCAAGGAGGCCCAGACTAAGAGTATCACAGTGTTAAAGAGAACTATAAATTTTATCTGAAAAGGTAGGATTTTGTTGTAGCAGAAGTTCAGGAAACTTACGGTTTAAACCCTGAACACTCCCACAAAACTTAAGACACATTCATCTCTGTAAGGAACTTACTAATAAAAGCAATATTCAAAACCTTTTAAAATCTCTCTAAAACATATCTGTAACACTGCCACAGGAACATTTAATTGCTTTTATTTTTATTTCTCAGAAATAAAATAGTGATATGCCAGACAGTATGGGCTAAAGAAACAAGAGTTCACCTAAAGTAGTTTCTTTTGCTTACTAGGAAAATTAAAAGAGAAATATAATGTAAGTATAAAAGCAAGGATCCTGCCAGAAGATTACCCCAAAGTTCAACCATCACCAATCCCTGCAGAGATCATGTCAAAAGAAATAAAAACTGTGAGGAAAAGTCTTTTGAAAATAAAATCTATATAATATGTAATATATAACAAATATTATATATGATATATAATAGGTAACATATTATATATGATATATAATAGTAACATATACTATACAATATATATTACATATAACATACTATATATACTATATATAATATAGACAATAAGATCTGCAGTGAGGTTTTTTTGATTTGGTGGCACTGAAGTTTTGAAATCAAGACCTTGTACTTATTATACAGGTACTTTACTAATTACTACACCCCTAGACATTTTTAGTTTTAGTTACTTTTCAGATAGGAAGAGGTTTTTGGTGTTTTTTTAACTGGTCCTGTGGCTTGAACTCAGGGCCTGGGCTCTGTCCCAAGCCTCTTTGTGCTCAAGTCTAGTGCTCTACCACTTGAGTCACAATACCACTTCTGGCTTTTTCTTAGTTTGTGAGATAAGGGTCAGACTTTTTCTGCCAATGCAGAAAACCTTGATCCTCAGATCTCAGCCTGAGAAGCTAGGATTATAGGCATGAGCCATCAGCGCCCAGATGGTCTAGTGGTTTTTATAGAGGGTCAGCTTGACTTCAATCCCTCTAATCTATGACTTCTGTTCAGTTCTTCTACCCATGCTTCCTGAGTAGCTGAGCTTATAGGCATGAACAATCATGCCTAGTATATTTGTTAAAATTTTTGCCTAGGCTAGCCACAAAACCTCCTAACCTCTTAAGTGAGATTACAGGTATAAGCTACCTTGCCCAGCTGTAGTGAGGTTTTTGATGCAAAATAATAACCCAAATAAGTAAAAGACATGTTAAAGAGTTATTGAATAAAATCAATTTGAATATTAATGGTACCAGAACTCAAACTGCTAAGTTTACCATTAAAGACCTCAGAGGAAATGAGGCAAATCCAGAAGCTACTTAAGTAAATTAAACAAAAACAAAATGAAGTGACAATGACTATAGCAAAGAAAAAGAAGTCAATAATGTCCTGAAGATGGATGATACAAGACTGGAAACTAAGCCAGGTGTAGGGCACACACCTCTAATTTCAGCACTCAGGAGGCTGAGGCAGGATGAACTTGAATTTAAGGCCAACCAGAGCTACCTAGAGACATCCTATGCCAATCAATCCATCAATCAATCAACCAGTAAATCAATACTATATCATAGCAGAGGAACAATAAAGAAACAATAAAGACAGTTGTGTTTATTACTGAGAAGTTCATGATGACAACCACTGAATGCAAGAATATTTAGAATGGAAATTGAAAGGTAGTTTTGTTATTTTCAAAGACAGAAACAGATAATAATTATAGATGAGGGTCACTGAAGATATACAGTATCCATGCATTAATAAAGCATAAAGATACAAGTACTTTGGTATTTTCACCATATAAAAACAAATTTTCTGTTTCTACACGTGTGTGTATGTGTGTGTGTCTGAGGCAATGAGAAGGACAATTCCCTTAAGAGTATTGGTCTGTTAATGTTGGAAAAAGCAATGTTTAATGTTAAGTAGATTTTTGAAGACTTGCAGTTGAACTACTTAACTTCCCTTCATCAGAGTCTAGTCTGCACTTAAGATTTTCATTTTTTTTATTATTTTGAAACACTTTAGAGCTTTGAGCACTAGATTAGAATTATAAAATCGGAGAGCCCAGAACAGATGGTAAAATTAATAATAGAAGCAGCTTAAAAGAATTAATGTAATATATTATGACTAAATAGAAAAATAAAAAAACCTGGGGGAGGGAGAAATTTAAGAAATGGTATCACTTTTAATATCTATTCAGTGGCCAAAACAGTTATAACCTTCACTCCTCCTTTGTTGTTTTAAACTATCAATAAACAAAGAATGGAACCACAGAAGGAACCTGCTTGCCGCTAAACTGCTTATAATTAGCATTTTCACTAGTATTTTTCACTGTCCAAAATCTGCTAAAGGCTGCCACTGAAATCTACATACTGAAGATTTGATGTTTTCTCTATACCCTTTCTCAGTTTCTACCTTCTGGTGCTCAGTTCCTTAAATAAGGGAAATGAGAATCCAAAGCTGAAGTACTTCTGACCTCCTATCAAGTTTCCCACTCCAGGTTGAGGTACGCCTGGGTTCCCTTTCTCCATTTGGATCAGGACTCTGTTGCTGGCCACTTTGCCGGTTCCACTCTGGTTCCTAGCAAATGCCAGGCTCACCTGGAGAGCAAGTGAAAAGAAAGGCTCGCATCAGAAAAATAAACCCAGATATCAAACTCTGCAGAGCACAGTGCTTGAGTCATCTGAGCAACCTTCCAGAAAGGCAGAGAGTTCAATGAAGATGGGAAAAAGCATAGGAGGATGAAGGCTTACTGCAGTTTATCACATTAAGCTTTTAGAGGGGACAAGTAAAGCAGGAAAGGGGAAACTAAGCCAACTCAATTCAAATTTACAACTTTTGGAAAAGTACCTATCTACTGTTTAGAAGCAGAAGGTAATTTGCTAATCTGTAGTAGATATTTTTATAAGCCATTATTAAAAAGGGCTTGAGAATGCAAAATTGTAGCACTGTAGAACAATGGGTCCATAGATAAAGACCAGTTTCATGTCAAAGGCTCAATTAAGTATGTCTGATCTAGATGTCACTGGCTGCTTTCAAATCCTGTATTAGATCCAAGCTCACTTCTACTTAGAGGGTAAGTTTGTCCCTGGGTAGTAATGCTAAAAACAAAACAAACAAAAAAAACCCCAGCTATTGATTAGGAAAGTCAGAATGAAGAAATCAAGTTTGTCCCTCAGACTAATTAGTGAGTTGTCTCAACGAATTTCCTCTTTCTATACAGTATTGACTCTCTTTCTGGAAGAGAATTGGCAAAATCCCTATTCTAAATATGCTTTATTTGTAGCTCTGGTTAAGTAGACAAGAGTATTGAGAGCTAGCTTATGTATTTTACTGCTAAGAAAACAGGGCATACCCTCTCAGCTTACAAGAGCAAGTCTAATTATTTGAATACATAGCACAGCATCAAGTCTCCTGACTCTAAGTCTCCTTGAATGAATATTCTTGCTCTTTCTGCTTCAGAAGTTAACCATTATTCACACTGGACAGAGAAAGCCATCCTGTGCTTAAACTGGCAAGAAAGAAAGCTGGAGAGGACAATTCTTCAAATAAGTTATTTCTTGGTCTTTAGAATAGCTAAGATGAAAATCATGAGATCATGAGGTGGTCACTTGCACAGGAGTCATTTTCAATCTGTTAGCCTATTAGTTTGCACAAGAGTACCATCTAGAAATTTAGATAGAAGCAAAGTAGTATTTCTGAAGGTTTTCATCTTCAGACATGTTAAATGTACATTCTAGTATTAGAGAGCACTGAATCAAAAAATGATGCCTCATTTACATGTGCTAGTTAAGAGAGGGCACTCTGAGAACATATTGTACTTTTGTAGAATAGAAATAAGATTCATTTCTTATGTAGAGAATATAAAGATAAGACTCATTTCTCTGACTTTTCATTTTGGGTAAACTTTTTTTAATGCATAAGAAATTGGATCTTTGCAATCACCTAGGAAGAACCGCTACTAGAACAGTAAAAATCAGTTTATCTCTCAACTCTACTCATTCCCAGAGACAGGACAGAAACATTTTTGTTAGCATGAACAAAATGATAATTTTCCCTACCTCCCTTTTCCTACAAAGCATTTCAAATGATAAACTGCAGTAAGGCTCCTCATTTGGTCCCTCTGGTTTTCTTGGCAGGTTGCTTAGGGGCTCAGGCTCTGTTCTCTGCAGTGTTGGTTGTCTGGATTTCCTTTTTTTCTGAGAAAAGTCTCTTTCTTCCCTTGTGTTCAGGGTGAACAGGATTTTTCAGGTGTCTGGTGATTTTGGCCTTAGATGAGGACCAGAATTACAATCCAGGAAGCAGCTAGCAAAACAGAATCTTAATTCAAATAAACACAGGGATTGGCAAATGTCAAACTGGAAAAGAAAAACTGATGGGACATCGAAGTATTCTAAAAAATTGATGGGAAATCGAAGTATTCTACCTTTTCTATACTGCTTGTTTTCCCTGTAAGGAAATCAATATGGTAATAAAGATGTAAAAGAAAGACAGAAGGGTAAAAAGAGAGAAAACACCAAGAAAAAGCATTAAGATTAGGAATGATCTGGCCAGTTAGAAGCCTGGAGATATGGGTTACCTTGTACAAAAATGCCCCACTCCCTACAAAAAAAAACTATTAAAATATGGTAAAAGCACACAAAGTACAATGGGAGTTATCTTTATGATTAACTTATTGTCAATTATTACTGTAGAAAAAATAATCTCACTTTGTGATCTTCTTGACACCTAACCCAATTTTATAGTTGCAGTCTCTAAGAGGGTCTGAGGCATTCTGATTAGATGCAAGGCTGAAAATTCTGAGATCCCAGACACCTGTTAATACATATTGATACTGACTCTACTGGCTACTCTAATGAAGTCTAGACATTGAAAAACCCACAAGAAAAAAATCCAGCTCTTATTCAGGAAAAACATACAGGTTTTTAAATTTTAATTCTACATAATTCCAAGGATGAAGAATGGTTGGCAGTTGGTTCCTTTTACTGTGAAAACAATCTAATTCAGAGGCTGCAAAATTTCTTCTTTAATCTCTACACAAAATAGTACTGAAATATCAAAATGATACTGGCAGGAAGCACAAATACAGACTCTGACAAAACAGTCTCTCCATCAGCTCTTTTAAGGTAGAAGGAGGATTGAAAGTTGAGTTTTTGATCCAGTTCTTCTTGAGACTAACATCATCTTGAGATTAACAAGTGTAATCTATAAGACCCTCAAAACCAATTTTTCCCCCAATCCTTGGGCTTGAACTCAGGACCTGGACACTGTCCCTGAGCTTCTTTTGCTCCTAGCACTCTACCCACTTGAGCCACAGCAGCACTTCCGGCTTTTTCTGCTTATGTGGTACTGAGAAATAGAACCTAGGGCTCCATGCATGCTAGGCAAGCACTCTACCACTAAGCCACATTCCCAGCCCTCAAAACCAAATTTTATGCAGCCTATTTATAAGGTTCTTATTTATCATGGCTCCTCTACTTCACACATTTCCTTCTTACATATTACCTACAATAATAATCACAAGATATTTTAAATGACTAAAAACAAACTCTGAAGAGCACAGCCAGGGGTTATATGTTACGTCAATAAAGCTATAACAGCTTACAATGTAGTCATCAGGAATATCATTATAAACAAATATAACCTCCACAAAGATCAAAGTAAATAAAAAATTTATATACAAAATGAAATTTTCCAAGAGCTAAGAAATGAAAATGTTCGCACCTGCAGTGTACAGTTCTCTTTTCGTTTGAGGAACTCCACAAACCTGGCAACTACGCCTGGTGTGCTGATAACTTCATCAATAGGAGGATTCGGCTCTGTTTCCACATAAAATAAAAAGAAAAACAATCTGATTTCAGTGTAAGGACTTCATAGCTCAAAATTATTTCACAATACTCCCTCCTTTATTTACTGGGCCTCGCCACTTCAAGACTAGGGCAAAGTGAAAGGTTTCACATAAACCAACAAGCTTTAATAGGAAAATGAAGAATGGGCAGTATTCATTGTGTCTTAAGTGGTAGGAAGCTTTCTTTCGTTTTGTGGTATGGGGCCTTGATGAACTATACACCTACACCGTAAAAATTCTTAAAAATTAAAATTACTCCAACTACTATTTTTAGGAAACCCAGAAAGCAATGGAAAGCAACAACAACAACAAAAATAACAACACCCAGACAATTGCAATCAGCATTTTGTATCCTTTCTGCTGGTTTTCTGTCCATGAGCTTTCAGTTTATCATTTTTGTTTTTCATACTGTTTTTATCATGGACTGTCTTGAGAGAAACTGCCTTACAGAATTTATAGTGTGCTTATAGAATACAATTCCCGTGATGAATGCCAGCAGGAATTCATTAAGATTTACTCACCAAATTAATCTCATTTTTAGTTATGACAATAAGTACTTTATAAATGAAGTATTTCAATAAATTTATTGGGTAACAGATTGGAAATGGCAGATAATGAGAGTAATCACAACAGAGACACAGCAAATTTTGAATGTACATGGGGCAATGCCAGAAAATATGCAGTAATTTCACTGCATTATCTGTACAGAATCATAGCCAAGTTAGAAGTCTTATTGAAAGAGGTTTAATTTGACAAGGATCCTAATGACATAACTTTTGTCTGTTTCCACATTTTTATCAATCACTCAGCTAAATAAATTTGTTACAATAAATTGGTTAATAGGATAAATTATAGAAATATACACCAAAACTGATAATAAAACAAGAGTAATAACACAAAATTCAGCGAAGACTCTTTTGTTGTTTTATAGTGCCTATGCATACTAGGTAAGCACTCTACTGTTCACATTCTGAGCTCCAGCAGAGAGAGGGGGGAGGGAGAGAGAGAGAGAAAGAGAGAGAGAGAGACAGAGAAAGAGAGAGAAAGGGTGAGAGAAAGAAAGAGAGAAAGGGGGGGATAGAGGAGAATGGAGGAAAAGAGGAGAGAAAGATCAGTGAAGTCCTGGGGCTTGAATTCAGGGTCTGGATACTGTCCCCTGGCTTTTTTGCTCAGGACTAGTGCTCTTACCACTTGAGCTACAGCTTCATTTCTGGCTCCTTCTGATAGTTAACTGTAGGTAAGAGTCTTACAGACTTTCCTACTTGGGGTGGCTTTGAACTACAATCCTCAGATCTCAGACTATTGAGTAGCTAAGATTACAGGCATAAGCCAAGTGTCAATCTAATATTTGGTTTTGTTTGTATGTTTGACACAAAGTCTGGTCTCCTCCCTATGTTGACCAAGCTGGCTTCAAACTCTTAGGCTCAATGATACTCTTTAGACTCCTGAGAGTCTAAAGACTCTAGGCATATCTGCCATTTAGCAACTAAATTTTACAAAAAGCAATCTCACAAAATACAAGCAAAATACAATTCATGAAGAAAACCACTAGTAAATTTAATGAAAATTCAAAATACTACTACTATGCAATGACTACCAAAAACACTACAGTCTCTTCTATCATTGGCATGAATAATTTCAGGACAAAGAAGGTAACACCTCTCATCATGCTCTACACTAGAAAAAGCATATATGGTGTTTTGTATTCTAATGTTTTGTAATGTTCATTTTTGTACACAGGGACTCAGTATGTAGCTCAGACTGATCTTAAATTTGTAATCCTCCAGACATAGACTCTTCCTGAGTTCTGGGTATGCCACCATGCCCAGCTTGTATACTTTTCTTTAAGAGGAATGTTGGCAAATCAGAATATATGTAAGGTAGTAGTGGTGAAAGTCTTAAAAAGCCCAATTTTGTCAGAAATCATTATCATGCTAAAGAGACAATAGTTATAGAGATATGGGACATATACTTTCTCTTCAAATACTGGTAAGTTGTCGTGTAAAACTAGAGTTTTTAGGTATGTGCATTATGGTGGTAGGTTTTCCTTTTATTTAACTTCAAAGGAAGTACTTTGGGTTTTTTGTGCTAGTACCAAGTCTTGAATCCAAGGCCCTATTGTTGGCTTTCTTTTGCTCACAGCTGAGCCACTGGTTAATATAGAGTCTATTGGACTTTTCTGCCCAGACTGACCACAGTCCTCAGATCTCAGCCTCCTGAATAGCTAGGATAATAAGCATGAGACTCTGGCACCTAGCATATTAATATTTTACATCACTAATAACCATAACTTATCACTGGAAAATTATTTACTAGCATCAACATTTTAATTACTTTTATTTGCCTAGGGTGACAAGTACCATACTTCAGTCCTATTCTATACTTATTACACCAAACAGATGGGTTTAAACTTAACCACTAACAAATCCATGGTAACTTTCAGTAGTAAACTAGCATTAGAAACATCATACTATTTTTCAAGTAACATTAAAAATTTTTTCCTAAAAAGAATTAACACTACACTATAAAAATGAAATTGCCTGTAGTCTGAAAAGAGGTAATGGAAAAGTTAAAATTTTTTTGGTGCCAGTCATGGGGCTTGAACTCAGGGCTTTAGCTCTGTCCTCTAGCTTTATTGATCAAGACAGCATTCTACCACTTCAGTCACAGATCTACTTCTAGCTCTTTTTGGTGGTTAATTAGAGATGGACTTTCCTGCCTGAGCTGGTCTGAGTTGCTAGGATTACAGGTATGTACCACCAGTGCCCAGAAGGAATATTTTACAGAAAAGAAAGTATTCTTTCATATGGAAAGAAACATACTCAGATCTTACCTTTTGAAAGCAGCTTTCTGAATTTCTGTGTTGCAGAAAGCTGTTGCTCTGGGCTATTAGAAAATATCATTTCTATCATGTCAGAAGTAATGACACCACCCTGGATCACAAACAAAAAGCAAATATAACAATGTAAACCTTAATTCAGATAAAATAAATAAAAAATAACAAATTATGACAGACCGAAAGAAAAAAAAGCAGATCACACAGAGTACATTATACAAATATATGAAAATGCCACACACACACCTCTTTAAGATAAAGTTTCTATTCAGCTCTGACTAACCTAGGAATTCACAATCCTACCTCAGCCTTCCAAGTGCTAGTATTATAGATAGATGTGATTTACCATGCCCAGGATTTTTTTTTCCTTTAAATTTAAAAAAAAAATAATTTTTTTGTTTTGGAGGTTGAACCCCAGCCCTGTACATGTATTTTCATTTGTTTGGGGGGTTTTGTATGTTTTTAAAGAAAATACTATCTACTTTAATTATCCTAACGTTTTCCTTCAGTACTATTATGCCACTATTACTCAATTTTGGTTTATTTCCCGCATTCCCCCCACCCCTCACCTGTCTGTCTTATATCTCAAAGAGGTGTGGTGGGAGGCCAGGGGGGAGTGGACAGACCATTGTGACATTTTCATATATTTGTATAATGTACTGTGTGATCTGCTTTTTTTTTAATTTTTTTGGTCTGTCATGGGACTTGAACTCATGGTCTGGGCACTATCCTTGAGTTCTTTTGCTCAAGGATAGTCCTCTACCACTTTGAGCCACAGTTCCACTTCCAGTTTTCTCGTGATTAATTGGAGGTAAGAATCTCATGAATTTTCCTACCCAGACTGGCTTTGAACTATGATCCTTAGATCTCAGCCTTCTGAACAGCTAGGATTATAGGCATGAGCCACTAGCACCCAAGCCTATGATCTACTTTTAAATTAATTACACAGAAATCCTACACATACATGAGGTATGTAAATAAATCTTAAGTTCTATATCTTTATTGGCTGCTAACATTTTACAACAGAATATCCTAACAGTTCTGATATAGTTTCAATTTTTCAATTTATATGGTAATTTTATAGCTATAAATTTTGAAGAATTCAATTTTACCTATTTTTTAAATTTTGAAGGGAATATATTTTTAATGACACACATAACTACAATTTTATGGGGTACAATGAGATGTTTTGCCACACATACTATTTTTTAAGTTGAGACAGGGCTTCTCACTGACCTACCACTCTTGCCTCAGCTACTCCAGTACTAGACTACAAATATATACCATCACACCTGGCTCTATGTAAGTTTTTATTTATTTATTTTCTGTTGGTCGTGGGGCTTGAACTCTGGGGTAGGTTCTGTCCCTGAGCTCTTCAGCTCAAGGTGAGCACTCTACCACTTGAGCCACATGCCACTTTCTGTTTTCTGGTGATTGTTTTGGAGATAGGCTGGCTTTGAACTGCAATCCTTGGATCTCAGTCTCCTGGGTAGCTAGGATTACAGGCGTAAGTTTTATAGCTGAGTTATCTTTCTAATTTAGTTGATTTTTTACTGCATACTACAACAAAATACAATAAGCATGTAATAAGCCAAGATGATTAAATATGTAACCTAAAATACTAAGTGCCTTTTATAGCCATCTAACATAATGTTTTATAAAACTCATAGAGACTTGCAAAAACTGGAGAGGCTCTAGTGGTAGGGCACCAGCTATGAGCAAAAACCCAAGGGAAAGAATAGGTGGTGAGTTCAGAGCCCCAGTATAAAAAATAATTTTCAAAATTAACTTTAAAAAGAGAAAAATCTCATATCTTCAACAATAAAATAAGTTCCTTTTAATATCTTACTTACTGGTGCCATCTCCATGTTATTAATCTGGGCCTCATGAAAGCCACCATCTGACATAACTTCCTCTTCTGTCTCCTCTTCTGCTGTAGCAACATTTCTTCGCTTGAATAACTGAAAAGTAAGATAATGAATAATGTAATTTTAACCCAATGGAGTTCAACCTGCAAATATTATTAAGTACTCCTTTCCAAACAGCAATAGGAATGAAGCTCTTCAAGTCATTTAAAAAATTCTAAACACTGTACAGCCCTTAGACTTTCCTGATGAAGTACAATTTCAGGCTTCTCCATAGTCTTTGTCTAATATTATTAGCTACAACCATGTATACAATTAATACTTGGTGGCATAAAACTTGAGAGGTCTTACAGTGAATAACAAAAAAATAGTAATACTGGTAAAAACCAAAATATATAAGGTTGGAAAATGATCTGGTAATCTTTCTTTGCCATTTGCCTCACTTTTTTATGTGAAATAGACAACAAATAACAGTCTTAAACATTTTTAGGGCAAAGGAGGACAAAAATGCTATTAAAAGTAGAAATGTGGAAAAGTGCCAACCTTGAGTAAAAAAGCCAAGTGAGAGTACGCACAAGGCCCTGAGCAAGCCCCAGTACTGTCACAAGAAAGCAAATAACCAAGCAAGCAAGAAAAAAGATTAGAATAATATTGGTCTTCAAGGATAATGGACTGAAACTTCTGACCTCCCTATCTCTCTAGCAATCAGTAATAAGGAAGGACACTACTTGAATTCTATAAAGCATCTATTAATTTGTGTAAATCTCTTCAAACTCAGCCAAGTAAGGTGCTTCTATTATATCCTCAAGAGTCCTAGGCAGTACACACTCATCAAACCATAGGAACCTGTCCTCCAATCTAAACAGCCAAAAAGCAGACAATACAAAAATAATAAAATACTGTTTTCCTACCTTTAAAAAAGTATGTACCACCAGGAAGTGATTTTTCAAAATATCCAAGATTAACCCCCGACTCCCTCAGATAACTGCCTAGACAGTTTTCAGACTGTAGTTCAGGGAGGGTAAACCCAAACAACTTAACACAGACAAGTAAGAGGTTGGAACAAATAAGGCTCAAAATCAAAAGTCACAAATCAGAGTAGAGATGCAACACAGTGAGAATATTCCAAACAGGAGGTCCCCCCTTTGACAGTTTGGTACTTATCAGCGCACAATCATGTTCTTCCAGAAGACAGAAGCAGAGGAAATACTTTCTTAACTTATTCTATAGGGACAGCATTACTCTAACACAAAACCACTTTGGTCCCCTTTACTTGGTATATTATGTCCAAGTTATCAAGGGAAAAAATTACAAGGCAAACTAAATGACTAAAAACAGAAAAACAGCTTGACAAGACAAAGTATCAGAACTAGACTATTTCAGGGATGTTGGAATTATGAGACTCAAATTTGCGAACTATGACCAATATGCTAAAGACTCTAAGGATTTAAGAATATAAGAAAGGATAGGAACCTAAAGGAGAGAAACAAAAGCTCTAAGTAAGAAAGAAGAAATGAAATCACTTAAAAATACTGTAACAGAAATGAAGAATTTTTTTTGGGGGGGAGGGGTCGTGAAACCTGAACTCTGGGCCTGGGCATGTTCCTCAGTTCAAGGTTAACACTCTACCTTTTGAGCCACAGTGCCACCTCTGGCTCTTTCTGCTTATGTGGTGCTAAAGAATTGAACCCAGGGCCTCATGCATGCAAGGCAAGCACTCCACGACTAAGCCACCTTCCCAGCCCCTGAAGAATGTTTTTGGTGGCTTATTACCTGAGGAAATCATCTCAGAGCTTTAGGCTATGTCAGAAACTTCCAAGAGTAGCCATGTCTACTCTGTTACAGCACAACTGTAATCTCAGAACTTGGGGGAAAAGGTAGGAATATCTGGAGATGGAAGTCCAGCCTGGGCAAGACTTTGCCTCAGAAAAAAAAAAAAGAAAAAGCAATGATGGAGTCAAAGTTGGTGGATCACATTTATAATTCTACCTACTCAGAGGCATTAAGAGGCAGAAGGATGATTCATGAGTTCAGGCCAGCCTGGGCAAAGTTACAGGGATCGTATCTCAAAAAAGCAAAAGGGCTGAGAGTACAGTTTCAAGTGGTAAAGGATTATTGGCCTAGTATACACCAGGCCTTTACTATAGGGAAAAGGAGACCAGAATACCAAACCAAAAAGCAAGTAAGAAAAAAAAAAGACAAAAATGCATGCGTAAATAAATAACAGAACCGCAAACAAGAAAGGATGAATAGAAGAAATATCAGAGGCTTAAGTAGGCCAAGAGGATCCTTGGTTCGAGGATAGCCTGGGCATTGTTACCAAAATGCCACCTACCAACAAGCCAGGCACTGTGATATACACTCACGGTTTGATACAGAGAATATCATAAATAGAAGGATTTTATCTGAGGCTAATCTGGGGCAAAAACCTAAGGCCCTACTTAAAAAATAATTTAGAAAGCAAAATAAGGCTGAGAGTATGGCTCAATTTGTATAGTTTCTACTTAGAAAGCCTGAGTCCCTAAGATCAAATTCCAATACAATAAGGAAGGGAGAAGAATGAAAATCATATATCCTTAATTAAATCACAAAAGATGACCACTAATGGGGGGGCCATGCCTGTAATTCATAATCCTACCTACTCAGAAGGCTGAGATCTGAGGATCACAGTTCAAAGCCAGCCCAGGCAAGAAAATCCCTAAGTTTCTAATCTTCAATTAACCACCAAAAAGGCAGAAGTGAAGCTATGACTCAAGGAGTAAAGTATCAGCCTTGAGAGAAAAAAGCTCAGGAATGGCACCCAGGCCCTGAGTTCAAGCCCCAGTACACACCACACACACACACACACACATGCGTGTGCACACGCAACAAATATATACATAATTGGTAACATATGGTAAAGATCTAGCCATATTAGTAATTAGTCTATATGCCAATTTTATAAATGCACCAATTAAATGAAAGATTGTCAAAGTGTATCAAGAAATATTTTCTCAATCAAAAATACCCATGTTAAATAGAGAACATACATCAACTAAAAGTAAATTAGCCATGTATGTTAACACTAATCAAAATAAAGAGTAGATAAAATAGCTTCAGACCAAATCAGATTTTAGAGAAAAGTAACTTCAGAAGCATTATATAGTGAACTCGTCAATTCTTCAAGAAGACGAATGAGGTGACAATAAAGTGTCAAAATACATAGGCAAAATCTGATACATGTACAAGGAGAAATACATTAATTCACTTGTATTTGGAGACTTCAAAATCTATCAGAAACTGACAGGTCCAAAGATAAAAGAAGGAAGGGAGGGAGGGAGGGAGGGAGGGAGGGAGGAAGGGAGGCAGGGAGGGAGGCAGGCAGGCACAGTATCAATTAGAATGTAATGGCACCCAATAACCTCAGCAATACTGTACAGAATTAGTTTCTATAGACTCCTTAATGCAAAACCCACAAAATATATATTATTAACCTTACATGAAACTTATGAAGATAGCATATACAACATCATGAAACAGATAAGACACTCAACATAATAAATAAAACAGAAATCAAAGTGTCTACCAGATTACATTGAAATTAAACTAGAAGTCAGAAAAAAAAACTAGAAAAATAGATGAAAAATACGTATAGATTAAACATTTATTTTCTTTATTGAGATTAAGGACTTACACAAATTTCACAGTTTTGGGGCACAGTGATAATTAGTTAAAATCACAAACATGTTTTAACCTTCACAATGCTAACTGTCATTGTCTTGATCTACAAAGCTTATGAATTCTACAGACTAAAACTTGTGGCATAGTGATAATTAGCTAAAATCACAAACATGTTTTAACCTTCACAATGTCATCATTGTCTTGATCTACACTGCTTATGACCTCTAAAGACTAAAACTATTTCTTCCAAATTGGGTGACTTGTATATTTCCTTCCTTTTGCTTATGGTCAGCTGTTTCCACTTTCTCTCTCATTCCCTCCCTTCCTTACCACCCCTGATTTGCTTAGTTCACTTTCATCAATGTCCACTACATCTGATAGGCCCCTCTGGGCCCCTCTGCTGTACTTTTCCACCCATTTTCCTCTAGTTCTGTGCCTCCCTCCTAGCTTCCCTCAGATGTGCACGTGTATACACCAAGTATGAGGTCAAGAACAGAGAGTCATCTAGAAACTATATGACAAATTAAGAAAAGTTCCTTTGTTTCTTGAATCCTGTTTACTTGGTCATATCTCATGTTTTGAATCTAACATCAGCATATCAGGAGAACATGTGCCATTTGTCTTCTCTGTTCTTGGCTTATCTTACTTAACATGATTTGTTCAAGTTCCATCCATGCACCTGCAAATATTATTTTGTCCTTTCTAATGGCCATGTAATATTCCATTGTATATATGTATCACCATCTTTGGATCCTTCCATCTGTGGTGGGGCATCTGGGTTGTTTCAGTATCTTAGCTATTGTGAACAGTGCATCATGGAACATGGAAGTGCAGGTGTCCTTGTTGTATCCTGGTTCCTGCTCCTCAGGGTAGATGCCTCGGAGTATGGCTGGGTCATAGGGAAGCTCCATGTTTAGTTTTCTGAGGAAACTCCAAATTTTCCAGAGTAGTTGTATTAGTTTACATTTCTACCAGCAGTGTAGTAATCCCCGCCAGCATTTGTTATTGCCTGAATTTAGGATATAGGCCATTCTGACTAAGGTAAAGTGGGTTGTTTTTCTTTGTATTTCCTTTACGGCCAAGGATGATGAACATTTCCTCATGAGTTTCTTTGCCATTTTTATCTCTTCTTCTGAGAAGTCTCTCTTTTGCTCTCTTGCCCATGTAATGATTGGTTTGTTAGATTTGGGAGGGATTCATTCCTTGGGTTCCCTGTATTTAATGGGTATTAGGCCTTGGTCTGATATATTGCTGGTAAATATCTTCTCCCAGTTGGTTGGCTGTTTTTCTGGTTTGGTAGCTGTCTTTAGCTGTGCAGAAACTTTTTATTTTGAAGTAGTTCCATTTGTCGAGTCTCTCTACAATTTATTATGACCCTGGAACTTTGTTCAGGAAGTTCTTGCCTGTGCCTATAAGTCTAGTGTCTCTCCTACTCT